TTTATATATCTTCAGCTTTTCGGGGTCATTTGTGGTGCACTGGCTTCTGTTTGTTATCTGCTGTTCTTTTGTCCTTGCAGAAAAATTATGGAAATCGATCCTCAATATTTTCTGAATATTCCGAAATCTTGACCAAAAATCCATTTGTGCTAAGAAATGCTGAAATTAGTTACCGGAGTAACATGTTTTATTTATTTGCGAAGTTAGCAAAACTGGCATAGATCTATTGATAATACCGACCCATAGATTTGAAGGCTATTGGTTCTTGAAAATTACTCACTGTCGTCCTACACCCGGAGACTACGACTCAAAATCGGAAGGCTATGGTTCAAAAGCGGAAGGCTCAAGGCTATGGTTCTAGCTCGAATTCTCATCTCTCATTGGTTGAAATTGAATCTTCAGCGGATTTTCACATAGCCTTCTAAATTGAAACAATTTTCAAGACTGGATTTTCGAAAATCGAGTATGTAGTGCGAGAAGTCGAGAACATATGATAGGTTTTCTAAATTGAACAGAGGGATATTTATGATTTCTACCTGATAAAAAATGCCACAGATTTTCTTTGCTAGGCCTGTTTCTGTGTTTCTGTGTTTCACTTTCTCAGTTGGCCCTTCTTCTTGTGATAGACAATATGTATAGTTGTATACAGTAGTTTTTTTTCTTCAAAAATTCATATAAATTATATATATAAATATATATAAATATGTATGTACTCGACGACCGACGGCCTCGACCTAAATATTTATTTACATAAATACGTTAAATAAATACGACATTCGACTGTCCTATTTTTAACTTTTTTACATAGTCCATTTATGTATGTAGTCCTTCATATTTTTAAAATCAAAACGACCTAAAGTGCTAAACCTGAAAAAAGTAAAAACGGAAAACCCCGTTGGTCAATCGTTCGATTCCTTACTCCTTCGCAATAAATAACTCATGGATCTCCCATATTTATGAGTAAGTATGAATGTCGTCGCCTCATCACTTCGATCTTCCACTGTATTTACAAAAAAACCTTATATCTGATAAGCAATCATATTCACGCGACATGAACTATTGAAAGCGACAAAATTGTTCAGAGCTTTTTCATCTACCAAGTGTGAATTCACTATGGCCCTGTAATAATAGCATTTCAGCATGTGTCTGTAAATTCCATAATCTTTCAAAGGCAATGTATTCTCGGATACTATATCTGTCCTACCAAGATGGCCATGTAAATATTCCCGGTTATATTGGTTTATGCGCTACTGAGTACGATTATATCTGTCCTACCACGATGGCCATGTAAATATTCCCAGTTATATTGGTTTTATGTATTACTGAGTACGATGTGTGAGAAGAATATGAGGAAGTATGGCATCTATACTCGGTGGTGACATCAATAATCAACAAACAATTATTGGAAGATATTGCGTTACCACCAAAAAAATGTATATTTTGAGCTGTGTTGTTGTATCTAGTTTTGGTGAAGTCACTCATACACCCATCGCACTCGAAAGATGCAAATGAAATTCATATAAATGGGGCCACTCACAAAACCATTTCCGCACACCACTACAATACCCTACAGTTCAACCAACCCCCGAGCCGACTTCAAAAGTCCTAGAATCGACAATGATGATTCCAACATCACTACTCGTGCTCGCTGCGGCATCAATCAATGCGGTATCTGCCAAATATTTCCAATTGCACGTCAGCGAACACACGTGTCGTCAAGAGGGAGAAAGTTTCAATTTGGAGGCGACAACCGGCGAATGCTATGAACTGACAGATGATTGTAATGAATATGCTTTCTTTGAATGCTCGAGAACCTTAAAAAACCGAAAAGCAGCTATGTTCGAGATTGTAGAGGGTAATGCAGATGTAGTGTCATACAGCATGTTCGGAAATGAGGACTGCTCAGAAGATACTTTGTTGTTTGCTACTGAGTACAACGTTAATGTGTGCTCTAACGGAACGTCTCTTCGCGGCGAAAAATACATAACTCTACTCTCTATCACTGAAAATTCACCGGTCACACCTAATGAAAGTTCATCGGCCACACCTAATGAAAGTTCATCGGTCACACATAATGAAGGTTCATCGACCACATCTAGTGAAAGTCTATGGGAGACATTTTCTGAAAGTTCATCGGATACACCTAGTGAAAGTCTATGGGAGACATTTTCTGAAAGTTCATCAGATACACCTAGTGAAAGTGTATCAGATACATATACTGCAAATCTTCCGGATACACCTAGTGAAGGTCCATCGGATACACCGACTGCATCTCCATCGGCTACACCTAGTGCATCTCCGTCAACTACTGCACCTCCATCGGCTATACCTAGTGTATCTCCGTCAACTACACCTAGTGTAGAATCGTCTTCTTCTGACGACGCAACAACTACCACTAGCACCGACTCACAACCGTCCACCACTATCAGCGAGGAAGAAACTTCCACTACCGGGGTGTCTTCGCCATTGCCGACATCGACACTCGGGGTCACTGATGAAGATCCAGAAGGTCGTGTGTGTCCCGACGAGGAACCAGATTGCAATGGTGCTAGCATTGGGAATTTGTCGGTCATTCTGAGCATTTGTGCAATGCTCCTCGCAATAGCAGCTCAGTGGTGAATCTAATTGGTTTGTCGACAACAATGCCTTTAAAAGCACATAAGATAAATACCTCACGTATATGTCAGAGTTGTATGACATACAAAAACACAGGTATACCAGAGAGAAGCTGTAATATGTATCTCTGAGATTTTGCAAGTGCTATTTCGGTGTTTAGACTACGAATATTCTCAAATAAAATTTACCAACAAAGCTATTGTTTCAGCCACTTTTACCTCAGTGTCAGCGCGACCAAAAGTACATGCACTTGTCCATGAGATGCTCGACTAGCAGCCGGTGATTCATTGCAAACAAGACATACAAGAATCTGTAGATTGTGTCCTGTTGCCGACCGTGTGGCGTATATTGGCTTATGATGTTTATTTAAATCGCTCAAATTTTTCTCGTATCGAACTATATGTATTCAGGACAATGATGCAAATCACTTGGTGGTGTACAAGCGTGTTCTCACACTCTGCCCTCAAGAGCCGGACCGTCAAACCACGTATAACACACACATGAATATACGCCGACACCAAATTATACCAATCAGTCACTGACGTGATCGCTATAAATTATAGGAGCGAACGTGTATTAAACAAAAGCTTCTGTTGCCGAAGGACACAAGTGTTACGTCAAGACTTTTATTCAGCAAGTGTTAAGAATGTGTTGTTAAAGCTATCATCTAACACACAACGGTCGCAAGCCATCCAACATCCAAATGAATGTGTTCAGAGAAATCATATGTCCCGTTTTCGTGCATGGGTACGTAAGTTAATTTCGAGATATTGCTGCGCAATACATCGGCAGAACACATTAAACGCGAACATATAGCACTCTGGCCATGTTTATATCCGATCGATATCAATTAGCGCAAGACACTGGCACCGGTCGCACCAGCGGTTGTTGATACCAACGGCTACAAGCGCAAGGCGCTTAGCTCACCCCCACCCCCACCCCCACCAAAAGACCCGAGTTGGACTCAGTTCAATGATGTGTTTTCGGTACAAAGATACTCACATATCCCCTGCGAGAGCGTTTGCTTGTGATCATGCTGATACGCTGATCCCATG